CGAGAATCTCCTAGAACATTTAAGGCAGTATTTTCACTCTTCAAAGGCAGGTTTTAATAACTTTCATTAAATGTCAACCCTTCTCGCCTAGAAGCACGCAGCATGTGTGCCTAATTTCAGGGATACCTGATACCAGGTATCGGGCTACCTCGGGCTAATTGTGCCACTGCTCCCGGATTAATTAGCTGTCAGGCACCTTTAATTACGCGGTTAACCAGCAAGACCCCGCGGAGTCCCTAGAGGTCCAGGTAATTCCACCATCGCATCACACAGTAAATTACAATCAAGTAAAACCAAAAACACAAACAGACCGGCCCTCCCAGCTTTCTCCAGGTGACGGGGTACCACATTCTCTGGCTGGGCGGGGTCTGCACTGGACTCAGCAACTATGTCCATCCTACCACACAAAGTGCATGTGGAGACTGAGTAAAGTGTGCTCAGCACGGACACGCGAGGACCCATTCACACAAACTTCAAATTCCTATTCACCGTGAGTTTTATGTCAAAAATAGTATAATGGAATTTCTTGGCCACTTGGGTAAGGGCTACCCACTGAAGACAATGACTACCTCCTCAATCGTGTGCTGGCTGAGAGGCACTGGGGGCACTCCCCTGCGTACACTGGTCGCCACCTGAACGCAGTGTGTGTGCCATAGCGGCCAGGGGAAACCCAGGCTGGAGCGTGGCACAGGCCCTGGGCGCCTGCTCCGGGGCAGATCTTGGCAGTGGTGGGGCTGAACCAGCTCACCTTTGCGGAAGCCACATGCTGTTTAGCCCACTGAGGTGTGTGCACACTCTCTCTGTGCTTGCTCTACACACTTACTCTGTGCACACTCACTTTGCACACACTCTGCATGCACCCGCTCTGCACATTCGCTCTGCACTCTGCACAAACCCATTTTGCACACACTCTGCGCGCACTTGCTCTGCATCCACACTCACCCTGCACACTCGCTCTGCACACCCGCTCTGCGCGCACACACTGCACACCCGCTCTGCACACCCGCTCTGCACACCCGCTCTGCACACCCGCTCTGCGTGCGCACACTGCACATACTGCACACATCCGCTCTGCACACACCTGCTCTGCACACATTGTGCACACCTGCTCTGCGCACACTCTACATTCTCTGCATACACCCGCTCTGCACATTCACTCTGCACACACCCATTTTGCACATACTCTGCACGCACCCACTCCGCACACACCCATTCTGCACACTGTACACCTGCTCTGCACGCACCCACTCTGCATATTGCACACATCTGCTCTGCACATACTCTGCACGCACTTGCTCTGCATCCGCTCTGCGCACTCACTCTGCACACCTGCTCTGCACACACCCGTTCTGCACACACTGCGTACACCTGCTCTGTGCACAGTCTGCACATACTCTGCACACCCACCTCAGTGGTCTCAGGGGTTTACATTAGAACAATGAAGAAGCACTCAGTAGGGCCACTCTTCACAGGAACGGGTATTTTCCAAAGAGCATGATGCACGGGTAAAACAAAGAACAGTATTAAAGAATACAGTACGGAAAGCAAAGTTTTAAAAACTTGTGTCCAGTTTTTCTGATTTTTCTAGCGATACCGTATGTGTATTAATATGTATACACACAAGTATATGTAATCATACAAGGAGAATTCAAAGCATTTGTGGAAAACAGAATAAAGCACATTTCTTTTCGTGCTAAAAACCTGAAATCCATGCATAGTTTTTCCTAATACACATTTTCCACAAACTTTTTAAAGACCTTTTATGTAAGCATGCGTATGTATACATTATACACACTTATGTCTTTTTCTCAAACTTTTTTTGCATTTTCCTTTTTTGAGGCTTACTGCTGCATCTTGGAGAGTGTGCAGTGTAGACACCAAGACTTAGTTTAACCTACAGCCCACAGGAGAGGAGGTTTCAAAGATGGCCACTGCAGAAGCCTGTGCCTGGACGCGGTATCTGGCCCCTGATGCACATGTAAGACGGTGGTGGTCTGACTATCCTTACTGCTGCGACTTAGCTGACAGAGGTAGGCTTAACAGAATACAAAGCTGACGGTGTTTCAAACCAAAGGTAAAAACGAGACTTACTGTCGGGCTAGGAGAATCTGAGCCAAGTCATAACTTCAATACTGAAAAGCTGATGAAGCACATGTTTAGGTAAACGAACCCGTTCCCTGCACCTTGAGAGCGGCACCTACCAACGACATCTTCTTCTCCTGGAACAAGGAGTAGGTGATGGCCACAGACTGTGAGAGTGAACACTTTTCATTCGTCGTGGCCAGACACGTCTTCTGCTCCTCTTGAGCTTTTGTACACGAAAGGAGGTCTGTCTACAGAATTCCAAATGCAGTATAAATGATTGGTAATGTCGTAAATGCAATGCCCGACTATCAGCGTGCTCACTGCACTAGGGAGCGACAATGCCACGTGTAAACCCTCTCAGTAGCAGCCCAGAAGCCCTGTTCAGGCCAGCCCTGTGGCACAGCGTTAAACACGCCCACGGGGAGCCCACGGGGAGCGAGACCCGACACGGCCGGCCACCAGCCCCAGCTGCTTGAGAAACACCAGATGTGCGTGCACGTCCAGACCCTGAGAGGAAGGGGAATGGAGGGAAAGGGGCTGTGGCCTGAGTAAGCCCAGTACTGCACGCATCCGCTCTGCACAGACTCTCTCTCTCTCCTCCTCCCTCCCTCCTTCCCTCCCTGTCTGGTGAACACACACACTCTCTGACAATTAAAAAAAAAAAGACGTGGTGTTCAGAGCATACAACAGGTCTAAATAAAGAGCCAGGTGTTACATGTCTATACCGTGAAGCCTCTGATTGGCTGCATCAAGAGAGAACCACCATTTCTGGGAGGCCTCGCGGGCGGCCCAGCCATCTCCACACATGGCCCTGTCGGGCCCAGCCAGGTCTCTGGCCCTGAGCCTTGCAGCCGGCGGTGGGGCGTGCCTTGTTACAGAGCAGCCGTGTGTGAGAGCAGATCTGCACCACCCACCTCTGTGGAGGTGGTCTTACGTGCGTGTAAATAAAACTAGCAAGGAAATCCACTCAGAGTGAGGCCTCCTCCCTCCCTCCTTCCCTCCCTGTCTGGTGAACACACACACTCTCTGACAATTAAAAAAAAAAAGACGTGGTGTTCAGAGCATACAACAGGTCTAAATAAAGAGCCAGGTGTTACATGTCTATACCGTGAAGCCTCTGATTGGCTGCATCAAGAGAGAACCACCATTTCTGGGAGGCCTCGCGGGCGGCCCAGCCATCTCCACACATGGCCCTGTCGGGCCCAGCCAGGTCTCTGGCCCTGAGCCTTGCAGCCGGCGGTGGGGCGTGCCTTGTTACAGAGCAGCCGTGTGTGAGAGCAGATCTGCACCACCCACCTCTGTGGAGGTGGTCTTACGTGCGTGTAAATAAAACTAGCAAGGAAATCCACTCAGAGTGAGGCTTAGACTGGACGCTTCATGGGAGCCAGTTTACCTGAAAGCTGTTAACCGAGCTTAGAATGTAATGGGTCCCCACGGAAGTACCCCCTCACTTCCCCTCTCTGCGTCCCCGTCTGGTGAGCGCACCCCTCAGGCAAACCTACGTGCATCGAGAACTGGGACGGTGTCTCACGCGGTCTTGTAGTAACAGAGACAGGGCGAGGCCCTCCCCCATCCCACAGCATACCCCATCTAGTTAGCCACGACGTCCTCATCTGAACGTGCTCGGGCAGCCCTGCCTGCGCCTGCCAGGAAGCTGTTCCTGTCTTGGTCCCTGGTTGAACTCCCTGCTAGCAAAGCCCACCCACAGAGGGCACGGCCTGACTGGACTTCTGCTCCGGAGGATGACGGTCTAGCCCTGTCTTCTTAGGGCTGCTACTGCAGGTTACTTCGCCAAGCATTGTGGGTATTCCTAAGCCCTTTACTGGACATTTACAGATATTTTTTCTCATATATCCTAAAACCTCGATGTATTTGCTGGTATAACTCATCCAGCGAGAGAAGGGGAGGCACTATAAAAACTGAATTTCCATAAAATCTAAATCTTTTTTTTTTTGGAGAGGTTTTTGCTCTAGGGTGTGTGCACTCGCCAGAAAGACACAGAGACAGCAAGAAATCATCCCCTGGGGGGATGGCGACGCTGCAATCCCTTCTCCTCCATTCTCCTCTTGGGATCTTGGGTACACATGCACATGGCATGAGTTCAAGCTACCAGGTCTGGGACTCAAATGGCAGTTGACGACTTGGGAGTCCAGAGACAAAGCCATTATGCCAACTGCTGGTCCCATAAAATGTATTTCTATAAAATTATTTTAGTACATTTTTCCTAAAAATGGCCCTGTAATAGGCCTAATACCCTGTCCTCAGATCTGTAATTCTGGATTTATGACAGTAGCTCAGTTTTACCTCAGAATCTTAAGTGAATATATTAACAGTTTAATGGATGTGGTAAACAAGAAAGCTGGCTTAATAAACTAAAGCTCATAGGTGTGTTTCTTTAATAAGTTGCTTCAATTTGCAGAACGGGCAGGCCCGATTCCCAGCCACAGAAATCAGCAGCCGCTCTCTCCAGTCAGAAGGGCCAGCAGTCCCACACCCGCCCTTGGGATGGTGCATCTTTGGCCCCACTTCAGTCTCCTCTCCTGAAGGAGCGTCAGGGAGGCCAAATCCTTCATTGTTAAATAATACCACTAACTGCTGAAAGAAGACCCTACTGCCAAGTGTCCAAAGAGAGGCATCTCACTCAAGGGCCATCAGCAGGTGCACTGTTCCTTGTAGAATCATTAAGACGCCATCATTCTGTGGCCGGAACACCCAGTAAGGAAACGAGGAATCTGCCCAGCCAAGGCAGCCCGCACTGTCTGCTGCCACTCAGCAGGGAGGCCAGGTGGGAGGCCAGGGGGAAGCTGGGTCGCCCTGGGCCCACCTGGACAGCCGGGGCAGCGGTCAGTGCTCAGTCCCAGCTGCTCAGCAGGGAGGCCAAGTGTAGTCCTGGCAGAAATGGTCACTAATGGTAAGGTAAGTAATAAGAGGATATGAAGAAAACGTTTCAGAGATCGACACGTCAGAAGACGGGCCTCCGGGGAGGGCAGGGGGATCCGAGAACATGCTGGGCCGTGGAGTGGCTGGGCACCTCATGGACTGACCGGACTGGCTGTGAGGACCATCTGTAGCTTTCATCTCTGACGACTGCGTCTGAGGCAAGGCAAGAATCCCGACACCTTCGGGCACAGCACTTAGTGACTTAGAACAGACCTCCTGGGGCAGAGTGGCGGCCAGGACCAGTCCTCTACCTCCAGCTTTAACGGGAGGTGCTGACAGCCGCTGTTTAGCCGACTCCCTGCAGGGCGGCCAGGACTCATTTTCTCAGTGCCCGGCCCGGGACAGACTGCTGCTTTCCAAGGGTGCTTTTGGAACAGTCAGGGAGCACCGCGCCCGCCCACAACGCACCTGGCAGAAGTGCTGGATGACGTCCAGCAGCGGGGCCAGCAGGGAGGCTTTGCTCTCGGAAACACCGTCAACCCTCTTCACCTCTTCGACTGTGGTCGGTCTGCATTTAGACAAAAGGCCGACACGGCACTGAGCACGGTGGTCCCAGCAAAACGGCAAGGGCAGCTCTGGGCCGATGGCCTGGAAATGCGTGCCGTGAGCAACACCCATAGCAACACGCGACTCGAGGGATCAGGCTGGCGTTTCTTGCTTTGCACCGTGCCATTTAAAGATGGGCTGCTTTCACACCCCGTGAATAAAAGCGCGGAGACCCCTTCAGCCTCAAAGTGGCGCTGACTGCTAGGTCACCCAGGTCAAAGCGCAGGCTGGCACCGGACGCCCCGGTCATAGGGACTAGCTTTACACAGACAGAAGGACACCGAGGCTGAACGGGCAACGGCCGAAAGGCTGAGAAGCCCTTGGAAAGCTCCCCCTCCCACAGCGTGCCCGTCTGCCAGCCCGCCTGCTTACACCGGCCTCCTCGGTGCCTCCGTGCAGAGGCCCCACGGGGCCCCTCACCCTGCATCTGGCACGAGGGCAGGCAGCATCCCCTTCCAGAAACCCATCAGCCTGGCCAGGATTCTTTTTCCTTAAATATCTCCTCTGAATATTAAAGTGTGATCTTAGAACATTTACTTTTTAACAAAATAATTACTGTAAGATACCAGCACTTGTGTAGTATCATTAGAGAAAATTCTGTACTAAATTAGGTGAAAGTTGGTAATATTGGGTTGTCAGAAAAGTCACGTTGTGTTTTTTCTGTGTTGTCCTATGCAGAAATGTGTCCTGACTTTTCTGACGACCCAATAGAAACAGTTTTTTAAGAAGAAGCGTAAATACCGTCACTAAGCAATTCCTCCCACGACCACTGACCATGGAGTGCTTACCCAGCTCGTGCTGGGTGCTGCCGAGAGCAGAGCTATACCAGGGGTGAGACGCTGAGACCCGCCCGTGGGGTGGAAACCGTCTGACACCGTACGGCCGAGAGAAACAACGAGCCCTGCGTGCTCAGCACCAAGACAGCACTGCGGAACCACCCAGTCCTCCACGGACCGCAGCGGGCCACTTTGCTGGCAAGACGTGGGGATGGTGGGAGGACAGAGGAACAGAGCCAGGCCCTGCAGGCTTCTCAGGAGAACCACGATGGGATCAGGGTCTGGACAGACGGGACAACCCAGGGGGACTTCGGGTTATGTGCCTGAGACAGAGAAGAGGCGTAGGCCCACAAACGAGGGCCCCGATTCCTACACAACGGAGTACAGACGGCAGGAAGCCTCATCGGGGGGACACGACCCGACAGGGGTCCTCACGTGTGTGAAGAGACTGAGCGAGACCAAGGAGGACCAGGTAAAGGTTCTGGTGACAGGTCAGGGTGAGTGGTCTAACCCACACGGCGCCACTGAGGACGGCACCGAGCGGTTCGAGATGGGCCTGGGACCCTCTTAGATCGGAGGAGTGAGGACTACCAGAGGCTCTAACCGTGAGGGCCGGGGGAGGACAGAACACGAGCACGGCGTGTGGGCCAGGGGAGGAGTGCGCCGCACACGGGGGTACAGGAAGAGGGCTGGTGTGGGCGGAACGCGAGCACGGAACGTGGGGGATCCTGAGCACGGTTCTCGCGGGTGCAGAGACATGGGCTGAGGCTGAGCCTGTGTGCGGGACAGCGGGGGCCGCCACGGTGGACCTGGCGTGAGACGTAAGTAAGGCGGCACACATGCAGCGCGGCTTACCTGGCTCTGGCCATGTCCAGCAGGACCTTGTTCGTGGCCAGGACAGCTGGAGGCACATCCATCTTGCTGGCCTGTCTCTGCCTAGCTTCCACCAGTCTGCTGTATAACAGGGCCTGGGCGGAAGTAAAGAAGCAGCACTCTTCAGCGTGCTCAGGGAAACGCACTGCACACAGGACTTTCCCCCGGAGGACGGAGATAAGCTGAACTCGAATCAGACTCTTCACTAAAGAACACCTTTCACAGCCCTGGCCCCAGGACCAGAAGCGCGGTAAGGACAGAGAGCAGCTACCTTCCCACATGCCACCACCCACCGGGGCTCACCCTCCCACACGCCACCTCCCACCGGGCTCACCCTCCCACACGCCATCCCCCACCGGGCTCACCCTCCCACACGCCACCACCCAAAGAGCTTACCTGACTTTCTTGCTCTTGTGCTGACAGGACAAGTTCTGAGGAGCTATAAGGTTGTCCTGTTGACAGTACCATGCCACTAAAATATTTAAAAGAAAGTAAGAACAGCTTTTCTTTCTATTTTACTTCCTATTTCACCCCCAAAATGGGAATCTCTTCCCAACTCAACACTAACATGTGGTCTTCACAACAGTGAGGTCATCTGTTACTTAAACAACAGCCTACAATTTAAACATTTTGGAAAAAGATATTCATTATAATGGTAAAATTAAAATTGCAATTTCAGTTAGTCACAAATTATATGCTTGAGAAAGTATTTGTCCGACCCCCCTCCTCAACCAATTTTTTTTTTTTTTTTAAGGCTTTTGTCATAGGGCGTGCACTCACCAGAAGAGAGAGAAAGAGAAAGATACAGTGAGAGAGAAAGTGAGAAATCACCCCCGGGAGGATGGCCACACTGCAGTCCCTTCTCTCCCACTCCCCTAGGATTTTAGGCACATGTGCACATGCAAATTTGTGTGATTTTCAAGCTGCCAGGTCCAGGACCTGAACTGTCATGGGTCAAGTGGGAATCTAGCGCCTTAACACTAAGCCACCTCCTGGTCCAGCAACCAAAAGTTTTAAGAGAAAAACGCTTTGTCCATATGAAGATAACACTTTTTTTTTTTTTAGAGGTTTTTGTTATAGAGCGCTTGCGTTCGCCAGAGAGAGAGAGACAGACAGAAAGCGAGAAATCACCCCCCAGAGGGGATGGCCACGCCACAATCGTCTCCATTCTCCTCTTAGCATCTTGGGCACACACGCACATGTGCCCAGCGTGAGTTTTAAGCCACCAGGTCCAGGACACAAACAGCGGTCGGCTACATGGGAGTCCAGCGACATAGCCATTACACTAACTGCTGGTCGCAAGATAACACTTTTTTAACAGGGTTATAATCTGCCTTGTTGTGTCATCACCGATTTTTGATTGGTAGGGATCATTAGAAAGAATTAATCAAATAATTACTTTTTTTTTTTTGAGAGGGTTTTGCTATAGGGCACATGCACTCGTCAGAAAGACAAAGAGACAGAAAGCGAGAAATCGCCTCCCAGGGGGGATGGCCACACCGCAATCCCTTCTCCTCCATTCTCCTCTCGGGATCTTGGGTGCACACACACACGTGCCCAACGCGAGTTTTAAGCCACCGGGTCCGGGACGCAAACTGCGTCGACTACGTGGGAGTCCAGTGACACAGTCATTACGCTAACTGCTGGTCCCATCAAATTATTTATAATATTCTTCTAAATCAAACAAATACAAGGCAAAAAAAGTCATTTTGTTTCTGACTCTGAGAGAGAGAGGTCATCCAGTCAGGAAACAGCGTGGACGTGTCTGGCAACAAAGCAGGGAAAGCCCCCTGGGAGGGGCCCTTCACGATAACGAGCCATACAAGGGACGCTGTACCAGAACAGGCTGGGCCCACCAGAGAGCTGCAGGTGGCCAGGGGCCGTGCCCAGCCAGGGCTACACGGAGGGCCGCGGCCCGGCCCAGGTTGGCTGGTGCCCAAAGTGCACGTGCCCTGGGCCTGGCTAGAGACGCTGTGACCGGGCCTGCTGGGGACGCCTGCGTCTGTCTCTCAGGAAATAAAAACGAACTGTACAGAACAGCCGATGTAACAGACGTCAGATGTAAACTAACTCCTGATCCTTGAGGTTGAGAGGGAACAAGTGTTTACGAACTATTTATAAATTCTTGTTGCGAGAATTCAGAAACTACAGGGTACAGTAAGATTTTTTTCACAATTATCAAATCTGAACCTGAAAAAAGGTAATTCATTCAAGAAGTAGTAAGACCAGGTTACCTAAGAATCAGATCAATGTGCTTTAAATTATATACTAACCTCATGTATTTATAGAAATTTTTATACTAGGCACTATTTGTAAAAATGATACTTTAAATTATTCTGCAAAGAAATTTTATTATATATGTGTATGTGTATGTGCACATATATATATATATTTCTGCTAGTATGTATACGTATGTGTGTACACAAATTCTGGGTAACATGACTATCTTAAGGCAGAAATACATGCAGAAAAAAATCACTGAAAGGCCGGGTTGTCGGCTCCCCGTACGGCAGCGGCAAACACTGCGCCCTGGGACCCCAACCCCACGTGGCCGCCTGCAGTCCGGGGCCCGGCCCCGGAGGCTGTAGAACTCACGGAACATGGCTGCCCAAAGTCCTGAGGGGTAGACAGAGGGAGGACCGCAGCGTGGCCACACCCACGGGGCGCTTCCTCCCTGCGAGCGTCCGCCCTCCGACGAAAGGCAATGACCAGGAAAGCGGCGTCTCGGAAGGTCGTCACAGCGCACAGAAAACACCTGCCACGACAGTCAGACAGCCGGAGAGAAGCAAACTGCTGCAGCTACGACACGGCGCACTGAGGGAAGCTGGGAAATGACGCTTTTGATAAATAAGAATTTGATGAGAAAAAGGCAGAAGGAGCACAGCGCTCTGGGGGCCGGACCTGCACCCACAGAGGGGAGCCTGCAAACATAAGAGGGGCACAGCGCTCTGGGGGACAGGGACAGGACCTGCACCCACGGGAGGGATTTTGCACTCTGGGGGTGGGGAATGCTTGTTTTGTTGTCAAGCCTTTATGTACCAACTTACTTTTTAAACCATAAAAATGGACTCTCTAATACAAATTAAAATCAATTTTTAAATAAGTTACTGCCATGTAAGCACCTTCTCGTTTCTGCACAGTAAGCCCTTGTATCTAAATTAACCCCCGGGCTACTCCCCAGCCTACCCAGCTCAGAGTCTAGCTCAAGACCTGGTTCTGAGCTCACCTCGAAACAGTTAATCCTTGAACATGAACGTGCCACCCAGGAAGGGACGACGGCACCGCGGACAGACACCTCCGGTCACCCTCGGGTCCAATCACAAGCCCGACGCCCCTACCCCTAGGAAGCTGACGGAGCTGTGTCCCTCCCTGTGCACCACAGTGGCCTCCACACTTGTGTCCCGTATTTAAATTCCCCGTCCTCCTGCGATCCAGTCCCTCAAGGACCAAAGCGACAACCAAGGGTGGGCACGTGAGGCCCTCAGACCCCACCATCTGTTTTGGTAAAGCCTAGAGGCTGAAGGTGGTTTTGCATTACATTTAAGAATTGTCTTAAAAAAAAAAAATCAAAGGTCGTTTCATGACGTGGTTACTTCATGGCACTCCAACATCAGCATCCGTAATGAACCTACAGCATGCGGCCACACGAGGCACCTGTCCTCTGGCCACGGCTGCTGAGGCCACAGGGAACACCGAGCAGCTGTGGCGTTGGCAGGCCTGTCACCCCGTGCTAAGGCCCCGACTGGACCACGACCTCTCTGTAGAGCCGTCCCGAGTCCCCGCTGCCTTTCTGACCAGGTCGGGGCTTGGGAAGGAAGCCACCAGCCTCAGACTCAGCCACCCACGCTTCTCTCCACACGCCAGTCTCCAGCCACGCCGGCGTGCCTCAATCGTATCACACACTCTCTCACTCCAGGTGCACGCAGCGGCCACTCCTCTGCTCAGAAGACCCCCTCTCCACCTGCAAGCCTCGACATAACTGCAGTGTGCTCCGGGAAGCCCTTCCTGAGTCTCCGTTCCGTGTTCCTGAGTGCTACGCCTGGAGTGTAGTCCCATGTCCCCGTCCCCGTGTCCTTCAGACGAGGATAAGCTCTGGGAGCACAGGTGACTGAGTCTATTACCCCTACTGAGCCCCAGGCCTCCAATGGCCCAGGACAAGCACAGTGAGTGTCCCCATGCAGAAATGTCCCGCTCAGAGCAGGCACACTGCCTGCACTGCTAGCACGCCCCACTCACAACGATCACATGACCACAAACCGCAGCCCCAAACGAAGCAGTGTGGCGTTCTTGTGCTTAGGTCTACTCCGCCAGCACAGCCCACAGGCACGTGCTGTAAGTCAGCCCTCCTGTCGAGGGCAGCCCAGCATCAGGCAGCCCAGCATCCGGCACCTCTCCCGGGAGAGAGGAGAGAGGAGAGAGGGGGGAGAGACGAGAAAGGAGAGAGGAGAGAGGGGAGAGGGGAGAGAGAGGAGAAAGGAGAGAGAGGAGAGAGAGGGGGAGAGGGGGGAGAGGGGAGAGGAGAGAAGAGAGAGAGGGGAGAGAGAGGAGAGAGGAGTGAGAGGGGGAGAGGAGAGAGGAGAGAGGAGAGAGAGGGGAGAAGAGAGAGAGGGGAGAGGAGGGAGAGGGGGAGAGGAGAGAGGAGAGAGGAGAGAGAGGGACAGAGAGAGAGAGGAAGAGAGAGAGAGAGAAAG